TTCCCTACAAAGAAACCCCTCAACAAAACACACAATAACACCCAGGTGGATAAATGACTCGACCAAGGCCCTGCAGTAGAACCTGTGTCAGAGGATGGTCCTACCCCTAAATCCTCAGCAATTCCTGCTTCCAACCCAGCACGTGGTGACATATCCTACACCATAAACAGCAGAAATATTCTGTGTTGTGCTTCAAACCACAGGAAAAAAAAAAAAAAAAAGTTGCAAAAAGCCAAGCTGGCCTTTGAGGAGGCAGCAACAAGCAGGGGAAGGGCAGGAAGCTGGGACTTCAGCTCTGCCTGGAGAAAAGCAGAAGAGAAACCTGCTGGTGAAAAATCACACGTCACAACGGAAGAGCTGACAATGCTCCAGGTTTCCTGAGGAGCAGCATCCCAGCAAAACCCGGCACCAAACCTCCTCTGTGACCAGCAGCTGCCTCTCCCAGGGAATAAACCCAAGGATAATCCTGTTTATCCCTGAAAAATCACTTTGGGTAGGGATTTTTCAGCTGGATTTGTGGCTTTGGGATGAAAAAAAGGCTGTGTGGCACCTGCCCGGGTGGGGAACCAGAGTTGGGGTTCACCATGGAAATGGTAGGAATCAGAGTCTGGCTGGTGGGTGTCCCCTGGAAGGGGATGGAAAAGCTGTTGGGAAGTCGTGGCTCAGCTGCACAGAGGGGGATGGAAGGACAGGCTGCTTGACCCATGCAAAAAATGTTGCCAAAAATATCTGGGCGGCTGAAAAAGAAACGAAACCCCCTCGAGAGGCGCAGCCCCAGGAGGGGCTGTTGGTGCCACAGGGAGTTTGACTCCAGGGCCATAGGGAGGGGTGAAGGCAAAGCCCTGATTCCCTGGAAGGGACATCGGGATGAGCTCCAGCCCAAGAAAAGGCTCATTTTGGGATGAAAAAGGAGCCTGAAGTGCAGGTTCATCCCCTGCTCCGAGGAGCCGGGTTTCCTGTTTACGGCCCCGGCGCTGCCACCTTCGCCTCTGTCATCACATCCCCTTCTGAGCAAGGCAGGAAAGGGACAAATTCTTCCTTTTTTGGGTCTCCAGAGCATCAGGCTGTGGGTGCAAGGGCACAGCAGCCATCTGGAGATCCCCAGATGGAGACCTGCCAACCTCACCTCCTGATTTTCAGTTTTAAACTGAAAGAGGAGAGGTTTAGGTTAGAGATCAGGTGGAAATTCTTCAGTGTGAGACACTGAACTGGGATGTTGTGGGGACTCCATCCCTGGAGGTGTTGAAGGGCAGGTTGGATGGGGCTTGGAGCAGCCTGGGCTGCTGGGAGGTGTCCCTGCCCATGCAGGGGGTTGGAACTCGATGGTCTTTAAGGTCCCTTCCAGCTCCAACCATTCTGTGATTCTGTGCTTTCCTGCCAAGGCTGGAAGTCACACAACAAAATAAAGGGCTGGCAAGGGGCAAATCACCCAGTTGGTTGCTCAACCACGGTAGCTCAGAGCTGTCTTCATTTCCTGACACTCCCCGTGCCTCAGTTTCCCTGCCCTGAGCTGACGTGTTTCCTTCAGGCCCGGCATGGGCTGAGGTTTCACTGGTTTCATGCAAAGTGGTTTGTTTTTATATAAAAAACCCACCATCAGACCAAATCACTTCCCCCTGCAGATGTGGCAGGAGGATCCCAACCCTCTCCACCTTCCACCATCAGGCCTGACAGACCCTGGACTTAATCTCCCTCCCTAAAAAAACCCAAACATCCCTGTTGCCAACTCGGGCACCTCCCCTGGGGACCCTCAGTCGCTCCCTTCGGGATCGGCGCTTTGGGAGCAGCCGAGGCTCCCCCGGCCGCGCAAGGGATTGTGGGAATATCCTTGTCCCCTGGGAGCGATGCTCCCTCCTGCATCATCCCCGCGGCCCCGGGGGGCTCCGGACCGGCCCGAGGACGCGTCAATCCCGGTGCGATCGGGAGCGAAGGGTCATCCCGAGGCACCGGGTCCCCCCCGGATCTCTCACCCCGTCCTGGCCGATCCCCGGGCCCGGCTCC